CACCCCCACCACTGCCGTCTGTATAATCCCTGTGGGGATGGCCATGGATATGGCCTACCCTACCCTGTGAGGGGAGCCCTGGTGGTGCAGTGGTTAAGCATTTGGCTGCTAACCAAGAGGTAGGCGGTTTGAACCCATCAGCCGCTCCTTGGAAACCCTGTGGGGCAGTTCTGCTCTGTCCTGTAGGGTTCCTATGAGTTGGAATTGACTCAATGGCAACAAGTTTGGTTGGTTTACCTGGTGAGGTTGCCCTTTGTGGTCCCAGCTTAACTTGGGGAAAGATCTCTTATTAGGTTTCCTGCCTTGGATGGGCCCTGGACCTTGTCTTCTGTCTCCCTCACCTCTAAGGCCATCAAAGCCCAAGCCCCAGTTTGCCTAGATGGGCAGATCCTCCGAAAAGGGGCAGCTGCTGTGCTCAGCTTCCCTTTCTGGGTCCCCACTTTCCTTGAGCTGTTGGCCAAATTCCGTATGATCTTATCAGCTTTCTGCTGCTTTTAGGATGTTTTCAAGCATTTTGAGTTGTTTTTACTGGGAAGGTTGGTCCAAACAGCCTGCTGACCATTATTGGAGTCATAAGTCACCCCTAGGATGGTAGCCCCCAGTGGGCAACTCCAGGGGCACCCACAGACTGCTTCTATCATCCCAGGGCTCCTGGCACCTATCACAGACCTGATCCAGGGTAGGGGTATGGGAGCAGGTGAGGGGGGGTGCGGGCAGGACAGCAACTGCCAACACTGGCTTCTCTGTCTGAACCGGTGACTCTAGTAGGGGCATGTCTTATTTGTGTAGTGCTGCTACAACAGAAATACCATAATGGATGGCTTAAAGAAACATATTTATTTTCTCACAGTGTAGGAGGCTGGAAGTCCAAATTCAGGGTGCCAGCTCTAGGGGAAGGCTTTCTGTCTCCGTAGGCTCTGGAGGAAGGTCCTTGTCTCTTCTGAGCTTCTGCTTCTGGGTGATCGTCAAGTAGCTTGGCATCTCTCTTTTCTTCCCTCTCTGCTTCTCTCACTTTCTTGTTTAATCACTTTTACATCTGAAAAGAGATTGACTCAAGACACACCCTATGCTAATCCTGTCTTATTAACATAACAAAGACAGTCCATTCCCAAATGGGATTATAACCACAGGCACGGGGAAAAAAAAAAAAAAAAACAACTTTCTCACGGAGTCATTCTGACTCATAGTGACTCTGTAGACTCTATAGGACAGAGTAGAACTGCCCCATAGGGTTTCCAAGGAGTGGCTGGTGGATGCCAACTACCGATCTTTTGCTTGGCAGCTGAGCTCTTAACCACTGCGCCACCAGGGCTCCAAACCACAGGCATAGAGGTTAGGATTTACAACACATATTTTTGGGGTGGGGAGAGATACAATTCAATCCATAACCGGCAGGGTCGACTACTCAGACTGGCCATGTGCCATGGGGTGGTCAGTGCCCTGGTGGCCACGGCTCAGGCAGAATCGGTACAGCCTTTCCTCGTCGGCATGCTCCTGTGGGCCTGTCCTGTCCACCGGCATTGCCTTTGGCCCCAAGTCCTGTGAGGGGCAGTGGCCAGCAGCTGTGCACCCCTTAGCGCCCTGGGCTCCTGCGGCAACACTCTTCACCATGGGGACACAGCCACTGCGCAGCTGCTGCTCCCTACTGAGGGCTAGTGTCGGTCCGCCGAGCTGGACACCATGCTCGCGGGGGCCTGGCAATGAGTGGTGTTGGGGAGGGACAGTGGGTAGGCACATGCATGAGCTCTGGGCCCGGTGTGTCCTGAGCTAGTGCTGAGTCCTGGGGATCCTGGTCCCAGGTGGGCCTGTGTCCCTCGGTCCCAGGCCAGGGAGGGACAGCTGTCAGCAGGCATTGCTGGAATGTAGAGTACATTGCTCACGTCCGCCTTTCCGAGGCCTGACCAGTGAGTGGAGACAGGTTTCCGGTGTCAAGGGACATGTGGCGTCACTCACGGGAAAGCCCACTTCTCCTTCCTGTCTGAGCTGCTGGCTGTGTCCGCAGTGTTACTGCGGACTTCAGCCCTCCTCAGCCTTCTCTGGTTGGCAGTGGCCTGGAAGCCGAGTGGCTGGTAGCCCTGTCATGGGGTCTCAGTTTGGCAGGGTATGGCCACGGCAGTTCGGCTGTTCCTGCACTCAGCACAAGTGGCATGCCTATGGGGGCCTCGCCCTCCTCAGCCCAGTGCCCACTGCCTGCTCCTCTTGCCCCTGGGGAGGCTTTTTGGGACCGTTGTCAAGATGGTGGTGGTGTCCCTGCCCAGCATCCTGGCCTCCTTCTCCTATGTTGCCACTCTGAGGCGAGAGGGCAGAGTGGGCAGGAGTGGCTATGGCCCATGTGAAGATAGCATCTTGCCCCCTCCTCCTGCCCCTGGCAAGGGGCACACTTCACGCCCAAGTCACAGATGTGCCTCCTCTTGGGGGGTGTGCCTAGGCCACCCTCTAGTGGGCACCATCTGCTGAACATCCAAGGATAAAGACACTGCACAGGCCCCAAGGTGGGCCAGGCCACAGCCCACTTCAGCCTGCCACCCTATTACCTCCTTTGCCGTCTCCTCCTCCACCCCTTCTCTGGGGAAGAAAATAGTGATCAAACCCTTCCCAACCCCTGGGATGTCCCATGCTGACACACAGACCCTCCGCAATCATGGAGCCCTGTGCTAGTGTACTTGGAGCTCAGTGGACTCACACACAGACACAGACACAGACACAGACACAGACACACACACACACACGCGCAAAAGCACACAATGATCAGATACACAGAAGTACACAACACAGAGACATGCATGTGTACACACACACACACACACACACACACACAGTACAGGCATGCATGTGTACACAGAAGTACACAATTCAGAGACGTGTACGCACAAGCACACAGTACAGAGACACACTTGTATACAAAAGCACACGATGTGCAGAGACACGTGTACACGCGAGCACACAGTACAGAGACATGCACGTGTACACACAAGCACACAGTGCAGAGACATGCACGTGTACACAAAAGCAAATGATGCACAGAGACATGCATGTGTATACAGCACACAGTGTAGAGACATACGCCTATACACAGAAGTACACAATGCACAGAAACATGCACATGTACACACAAGCACACAATTCACAGAGACACGCATGTGTACACAGAAGTACACAATGCAGAGACATGCCCATGTACACATAAGCACACAGTACACAGAGAAGCACGTGTACACATAAGCTCACAGTACACAGAGATGCACGTGTACACATAAGCACACAGTACACAGAGATGCACGTGTACACATAAGCACACAGTACACAGATACGCACGTGTACACATAAACACAGTACACAGACACGCACGTGTACACATAAGCACACGTTGCACATAGAGACATATACATGGGCATGTACACCAAGCACACATTGCTCATGAACACATACGTGCACACAAGCGCAGACATATGTAGTTAATAAATGCACACAGGCACATACACATGCACTGACCACACCTTGAACACCACCCACCTGTTCTCAGTGGATTTTCTGCGATTCCTCTCAGTATTTGAACAGTTTCTTTGGTCTTATGCTTCCCGGCTGCTGGGCTCTGGTCCTGCGCGGAGTTGTGTCACCACACCCCTCACACACGGTTTCAGAGACCTTTGGGCTCAGTGTGCAGGCTTGGCAGTCCTGAGCTCTGACCTCAGCTCTCACCAGGTTGTGGGAAATGCTGCTGAACCCCAAGGCTCTGGGCAGACTCTAGGGAGGAGGAAGGGGTGCACTGAGTCCACACTTGCCCAGTGCCCGGGAACATTTCTGCGGAGCCTGGATGTAGTCTTTTAACAACGCTAACCCTTGCGTGGGGCCCAAGTTCCAAGTTGTGCTCCCTGCCCGTGCCCACTGACTAAGCGTGCCCAGGACCCTCCAGGTCCTTGAGACATGCCTTGGCCACTGTGGGGCAGAGGGCATGTTTGCAGAGGGCCTGCATAGATGTGGGCTGCAGGTGAGTTGGACACATCCCCATGAACAACTTCTGCCAGCACCCTAGGGGGCAGATTTCAGCAAGTTCTGCCAGGGCGGAACCCCAGTGATTTCTCTGCCACCCAGAGGGCCAAGGCCATGCCCTCACCAGCAAGGTCTAGATCTCAGCCCAGGCCAAGGTAGGGGTGACCTCCCACGGTGGCTTGCAGGATGGGGTTGGTGCTATGGCCAAAGGAAAGAGCAGGTAGTCTGGATGCTGGCATGGAACCAAACGTGCGGCAGCCTGGGCGTGGTGGAACTGTGCTCACAGGGCTGTTCTCACTGCCACTGCCTCTGCAGTGCCTACTCACTGGTTGTGGTCAGGGGCAGCAGGCGCCATGGGTGCCAGGGAAACGATTCTGCCCGTTACCAGCAAACATTGAGGGTGTTGGTGAGGCAGTTTGGTTCAGTGCTGGTGTTGCGGGTTTGGGCAGGAGTTCTGTCCATCCATTTCAGGTGTAGGGAGGAGATTTGGTGTCTTGGTGCCAGCTAGCCAGCACTGCAGATGTCTAGGGGGCTGTTTTGTGTGGTGCCAGCCAGCGCTGCAGGCATAGGCATGCAATTTCCCCGTGTCCAGCGAGTGCTGCAGGCATCTCAGTGTGGTTTGTTCAGGGCCAGGGAGCACTGTGGGCTCAGGGAGGCTGGTCTGTCATTTGCTGCTCACTGAACTCGTTTTCCCTCTTCCCACAGACCGTGTGACCGTGGGAGGCAGTCCCTAAACGACCCATGTGTATCATCTTCTTTAAGTTTGATCCTTGTCCTGTTTCCAAAAATGCGTACAGGTAACCCCCACTCATTGTGTCTGCCCCCCGCCCCAGTCTCCCGTGCCGTTGTCTGTCAGCACCAATGAGTTGCTACTTGCAAAGGGTGGGGTTAGGAGTGCTGCTGCGTTCTGCCCTTTGCGGCCAAGGGAAAGAGCAGGCGGTCTGGGTGCTGGCTTGGAGCCAGCCATGCAGCAGCCTGGGCGTGAGGGGCTGAGGCTGCGCGCTCGGGTCTGTTCTCACTGAGCGGTTGGGGGGGAGGATGAGCCAGAGAGCAAGCCCACAATGACAGCTGAGCCCTGGCTGCAGGCAAGCCAGGGATGATCTAGAAAGGCCTGGCCCTGACCCTCTTGGACAGATGTCATTCCAGCATGGGGGCACCATCAGAGTTGTCTCAGTGGCAAGGACCTGAGCCGATATACAATGATGTGAAGACTCAGCACTGCAGACAGCTGTGAGGGTGCAGGATGGAGGAGATGGTCTGCATGCGAGGGTCTGAGCTGGGATTCGGGTCGGGAAACAGTATTGGCAGAGATTGAGCCTGACTTGGGCTAGGTGGTCCGCATTTCCTGTGAGATGTCTGGGTAGTGGCGGCACTGTACTGGGGGTGGGCCCCGGGCTGAGGAGCGAGGACTGGGCAGGGGAGCTGAGGGGTCCAGCTGGAGGAGGCGGGAGACCAAGGCCAGGAAGGGGCAAGCTGTCGACTCTGGGCTCTCCATCCCTGGCATTCATCCAGGAAGAGGATGAGGCCAGAGATACAACCCACACCCAAGATGACTTCTGGAACTGCTCACTAGTGGGATTGGCTGGGAAGCTTTCATCACTTGGAAATCTGCACCAGAAATGATTTGAAACATTTCAATTGAGTCTTGGCTTTTGGTCCCCATGCAGGATGGCACGGTTACCATGCTGCATGGTACTGTGGCTGAGTCAGCTCATTTCAGCCCAGGGAATGGGACACGAAGAGTGTCCAGTGCTCCCTTCCCTGTAAGTACACGTTCTGCTACTGAGTCAGAGCTGGGTGGGCAGCAGGGCAAGCAGGGGTCCAGGCTTCCCTTTATGGCCCCTAACAGAGCAGCTGTACAAGTCAGGTTCCAACCAGCAGACAGCATGCGGTGTGGTAATTCACACAGGGAGAGTGTAATATAAAGAATTCTTCATCATGATGGGTAGTTGGGTAGTAAGAAGTGAGGAGGGCTCTAAAGAATATAGGATTAGCAGCTGTGAGGAGCAGTCACTGCCCTGAGGACTGAGATCCAGCGCCCAAAGAGAGCCCCCCACCCTGGCCTGAGATCTAGACCTTGCTGGTGAGGGCATGGCCTTGGCCGTCTGGGTGGCAGAGAAATCACTGGGGTTCCACCCTGGCAGAACTTGCTTGAATCTGCCCGCTAGGGTGCTGGCAGAAGTTGTTCACGGGGATGTGTCTCCCCTGACACTACACTGCAAAACTGTCCCAGGAGGGATGCTGGAAGGAAGTGCTGGCTGCTGGGTGCTGCTTGCTGCCATGCTCTGGAGGGGCTTGATGCATGGAAGCTTCCCACACTGCAGGAGCCTGCTGAGAAAGTCCATGCCTGATCCCGGGAAAGAATCTCCTCCTCCTCTTGTTTCTTTCCAGCGCCCTCTACTGACAAAGCTTAACACAGTACCAGCTGTAAAGAAGAAGCGATTTTAGCTTCATCATCATAGAGCAGGACTCCCTGGGTGGTACAGATGGTTCAAGCATGTTAACTGAAAGGTTGGCGGTTCGAGTCCACCCAGAGGTGCCTCTGAAGAAAGGCCTGGTGATCTATTTCCAAAAAATCAGCCATTGAAAAAATCCTATGGATAAATGCCCATCAACAGATGAATGGATAAGTAAAATGTGGTAAACATAAATACAATGGAATATTACTCAGTGATAAAGAAAAATTTTAGTTCCTGAAACACCTTACAATGTAAATGAACCTGGTGAACATTATCTTAAGCAGCAGAAGTGAATCACAAAAAAATATTGTATGTTCTTTTACGAAATGACACGAACAAGTATAAGTATACAGAAACTAACGTTCATTAGTGTTTACCTGGGGTGGATGCAGGGGGAAGGGGATTCACTCTCTAGATAATAGACACTTGCTATTTTTGGCAAAGGGAAAGGTAACACTGAACAAGGATGAAGTGTATACAGCTTGACGAAAGTAAACAATGTCACTGAAATGTACGCAAGATAAAAGGACCTGTTGGTAATTGCTATGGCATATATAATTTCGAAACAACAGCAACAACAACCAAAAAGTATACGTGTGGGTATGTATGTATGTATGTAGGCATATCTGTCTATAAAACCGTAAACCAAACCACTTGCCATCAAGTTGATTCTAACTCATAGCGACCTTATCAGACAGAGTAGAATTGCCCCATAGCATTTCCAGGGAGCAGTTGGTGGATTCCAACTGCTGACCTTTTGGTGAGCTCTTAACCACTGCACCACCAGGGCTCCATATTTGTGTATAGGTATGTATATAAATGTGTCTACATAGGTGTATATGTATGTATATGTGTCTGTGTGACTGTACGCACATACATTCATATATATGATAAAGCACATAGGGGGCACGGTCACAGATACTTCTTAGATATAACCAGACACCTCGTGAGATTGATTTTCTGGGTTTGAAGCCTTAGGACCATAGTCTCATGGGACAACTTCTTCAGTAATACAGTTCTGAAAGTTATGTTCTACATCCTAGTTTGCTGAGTAGTATCTGGGTTCTTAAAAGCTTATGAGTGGCTATCTAAGATACAACTATTGGTCTCTACTCGTCCGGAGCAAAAGAGAAAGAAGGAAACCAAAGACTCAGAGAAGAAACTAGTATACAGGACAGTCTCCAGGAACCATGGCTTCATCTACTATGAGACTAGAAGAACTAGATGGTGCCCAGCTACCACTACTGACCATTCTAATCAGGGCCACAATAGATGGACCCTGATAGATGGGAGAAAAATGTGGAGCAGAACCTCAAATTCCTAAAAAACAGATTTACTGGACTGTTTCAGACTAGAGGACTCCTCGAGACTATTGCCCTGAAATACTCTTTAAACCTTGAATCTAAACTCACCCCTGAGGTCACCTTGTAGCTAAATAACAAGTTGGCTTACAAAATAATGAATATCACTCGTGAGTACTGCGCTCCTTTAAAGAAATCACCTGTGCTTGCCATTCTGTCCTGAAGGCCCTGAGTCCATGCTGTCCTGCCTTGTTTGGGTTGTAGTTTTCCTCTAACCTTTCCTCTTGGGTCTAAGAGCTACTTGGTGGCCACTCACATAGCGAGCTCTGCGCCAGCCTGGCGCTACTGGGAGAGGCTCCATTTCACCCAGTCTTGGCCAGGCCTCTGTGTGCACCAGCTGAGCCCTCACAGCACCCTTGAAGTCCCCTAGAGGGGAAAGGCCTGGTCTGTCTGCCTAGGCCCCATAATTGTGCTTTTTGGGGAGTTTTATTTTTGGAGGCCCATGGATTAAGTTTCAGAATGTTATATGCTGTCACCACGGTGCCCATGTGAGAAGCAGGATTTCCCACTTGTTTGCTGCTGCTGCTGATAAACTAATTTGTTCAGGCCGTGCCAGGTAAGGCAATTGAAGAGGGAGGGGAGAGTTGAGAGTCCCAGCAAAGCCTTCTGAAACCATGGTCAGGAGGGTCCCCACGACATGGGAGGGAGCAGGGCAGGGCTAGCAAGGTCAGGCTGGACTCCCTTTGAGGGGCTCCAGTCACCCCGCCCACAGACGGGAGTAGAGGGGAGAGACAATGGGTCTCCAGCGGGTAGGCCAGAATGAGGCCAGTGAGGGAGCTGGGCAGGAAGAGCAGGGGCCCACCTGAGACTGGGGATCCTGGAGCAGGAAGAAGAACTGGGTGCAGGGCTGACACCAGGGTCACGGCATTGAGGGGAGAGGCTCTGGCCACGCAGGACTGCTAGCAGGCCCTGCCTGAATGCCCCCTTCTGCCACCTCCCTCCCTCCACCCCTGTTCTGGCCTGGGAGGCACCAGCCTCTGCCCGTGCCCTCGCGTTGCCCCTGAGTCCTTGTCTGCCCTTCACCCAACAGAAGTCGGGAAGGTGAGCGTTGCTGGATCGTGTGCAATGGGCTTCCCATGCCATGTCATCCATGTCCTTGTGTTGGGCGACAGAGTATCCTCACAGCGAATTGTCATTTTACACCTTTGAAACCACATCCCCTCCTGCACCACACAGGCACGGCGCTGAGGACCCATCAAGGCCCCTGTGGCTTCATGCTTTCTTCGTTTAACATGCCACTGCCTTCTACCCTCTAAGTAAGAGACGCACCTACCTTCATTTACATTCCTAGAGTTGCTGGTCTCTGTGGTCCTGGTGCCTGTTTTGCTCCATGGGCCAAACGGTTGCAAAGATGACTTTTGTAGCTGGACCAATGGCTGTTGTAGTCATTTGTGTAAATATTGGTATAGACACTTGGCCTCTGCTCTTGACAAGACAGGCTGAGGTGTCATCACTTCTAGGTTATGGCAGTGTCGCTTGTGGCTCTGCCTTTTCCAGATGGCCAGTCTTGCGTGAGTGTGTGTCTGGCTTCTGAGGAGTTAATTCTCCTCCCTTCCTGAGAGTGGCTGCTGGGTCTGCTGGACATGTTAGGAGCCGCCTCTCCCTCCTTGGTCCTATTTGGAGGGGTCCTGTCATCTGTTCCCCTCAGGAAAATGTGTGGGCGGCTTCAAAAGGTATGTCTTACAGTCCGATCATGCTTTGATTCAGCGGTAGTTGTGAGGTGCCTGCCCATGAGTGACTCTCAGTGGGCATGGGGTGTGGTGTGCAGACGGTATCTGCTCTAAGAGCGGAGCGTGAGCACAGCCTCAGCAGGGCCACCTCCAGGCCCAGTGCCAGGGGCGTCAATCTGCACCTCCCAGAGCCCCCCTGCTGCCCCATCCCTGTGGGGGCTGCCCCACCTCCAGACGTGGCACGCCCCCCCTCCTGGTCGCACCTGGAGTCAGGTGTCAGTCAGGTGTCCCGCTGCCTCATGGGCACCACCCTGGGCCCAGCCCCACTAGGCACCCTCCAGCTTCCCTGGGTATCCTTTGGGTAGCTGGGCTGCCCCCAGTGTGTGGTCCATGTCCCCTTCTCACCACCGGGCAGCTACATGCTGTCCTTGCCCCGTGAGTGGGCTCCCTGGGGCTGTGCTGGCTCCCTAGAAAGCCCAGAGGTGATGCCTGGACAGTCTTCCTTGGCGTGTCTGGCAGCTCCTGATCAGGGCTGTGGTCTCCTGTGAGGTCGACTCAGCCCCACTGTCCATGCCCATCTGTGCCCAGCACATTGAACACTCATCCTGGGGTGCAGCTGCTTGGTGCGAGTACAGTCTGGCAACTCTTATTTTTGTTGTTATTTTTAATTCCAGTAAGAACATCTGCAGTGCTCTAGTGAGGAGCGTCGTGAATAAGAAATCACTAGTGGCGTGGGAAATGCTGACTTAGGAGGTTCCCACTCTGGCTGGCCTGCACCTTGCGGCTTTGTCCATGTCCCAGTGACCTGGCTGCACTCAGTAGAGGCATCTGTCTTTTGAGGGAATTCCATTTGACGTTACTGTCCCTGATCGTAGAAGTGATTCATGCTCTTTGAAAAAAAAATCATACCCCACAAATTGTACAAAGTAAAACATGAGTTCCTGTAACCCCCTGTGGTAGGCAGAATTCTGAGATGGCCCCAAGGTTCCCACCCCAGCTGTACACACCTGTTTAATCTGCTCCCTTGAGTGTGGGCCGGACTGTGAATGTGTGGGATGGGCCTCTGTGACTCAGTTACATTATATGGCAAAGGTGAAGAGATTTTGCTGATGTAATTAAGGTCCCCAATTAGTTGGTTTTGAGTTAATCAAAAGAGATATTATTGTTGCACAATAAACAATGTCCCTGAATTGCACATATAGCATTTCTTGAAACGGTGTATCCTTTGCTATGTATATTATATTTAATAAAATAAAATTTCTTAATGGGGTGACATTACCCTGGGTGGGCCTGACCTAATCAGGGGGGCCCTTCCTGAAGAAGAGATTTGAAGTGTGAAGGCAATTCTGCCTCAAGCCATGAAGAAGTAAGCTGCTGTGCTGTGAGAGGCCCTGAGGGCCGCCTCTAGGAGCTGAGAGTGACCCCGGCCAACAGACAGCAAGACAAGGGGACCTCAATCAAACTTCTACAAGGAACTAGACTCTGCTAACAACCATGTGAATGTGGAAGAGGACACCGAGTATCAGATGAGACCCCTACCCGGCCGACAGCTTGATTTCAGCCTTGGGAGACCCTGAGCGGAGAACCCAACTAAATTGTACCTGACTCCTGGCCCACAGAAGCCACTGCATTTGGGTATCCATTACACAGCAGTAGAACACCAGCGCACCCCTACCAGGATACCACTGTCGAGCTTGTCCTTTTCAGAACACCTGTTTAGCCTGGTGGGGCTGTGACTGCTGGGTGACCTGTTGCCCCTCATGGGCGGCTTCCTGGGAGGTCATCACTGAGGTGGAATCACTGGGCCACAGCCCGTGACCTGTAAGCTGCCGCCAAACCAGCCTCGGTGCACTGATTTACCCTCCAGCAGGTCATTGGCAACTCGTGATTTCAGTTATTAGGACAAAGCAGAGCCACGTGGTGACTTGCCACCCTCAGACCCCTCTCTGTGGTGGCATCACCCCTGCTTTCTGGACACTGGCAGAGGGGGACTTTTATTCGCACGGAGGCACCAAGAAGCGTTGGCTTTGAGGGGAATTACTTCCTTCGCTTCCTCCTAGAGTGTCAATGTAGGCACTCGTCTCAGCTGTACGGCTCTGAATTATGTGTTTAATGAAATCCCTGGCAAACCGCAAGCAATTCAGCTGAATCACAACGCCTGTGATAAAAATAACTCAGCAATTAACATTCCTGAATCACAAGCAAATGCGTGTGCTTGCTCCTTGTTTTAAAAATAGACAATTGAATATCTTAGGATGCATGGTTCTGCTCAGTCAGCTTTTCTGTTTCTATCTTTCTTAATTTTTTTCCCCCTGGAGCCTTATACAAGAATCAGAACCAGATAGATGTGAAGTTTAGGGGGCGATGAGTTTCTCTTAATGGTGGTGGAATACTTTGGAAAAGGATAGCGAGAAGGGTCGCACAACTTGAAGAGTGTAATCAATGTCATGGAATTGTACATGTAGAAATTGTTGAATTGGTGTGTTTTGCCGTGTATATTTTCATTAAAAAAAAAAATCAGAACCAGAAGCCGACAGCGCAGACTAACCGCAGGCTGTGGCCCTCCGAGTTCTTCCCCAGTTGGTTGGGGGCGGCAGGGGTATCTCTGGCTGCCTCCCTGGCTTTCCCCAGTTCCCCACTCACTGCGGGTGTTGGGGGATGTGTGAGTAGAGGAAAAATGTTTGCCATTTGAACGGGAACATTTGCACAGGACCACATTAATCTTGGCCCCACCCACGGCCTAACACCACTTCCCCATGCCCCCCTGGCCTGTCCCTGACATAGCCACACCATCTCCTCCCACTTGATGCTGCAGCAGCTCTCCCTGCTGACCAAGTGGAGATCTCGGTGGACTGGGTGTCTTCCACCAGGACTGGCCCATGCACATGCTGGGATTGGACATCCAGCCTGTGGGACCCGCTGACAGAGGGCATGGGGAGAGGACCCCTCAGATCTTTCATCCCTGTTGCCTGGTGGGTGCCTCCACCCAGAAGGGACACAACAGACTCGGCGGGAGAGGTGAGCAGGGCCCAACCAGCCTCTCCCTCAGGCCATCCACTTCCACTCGGGGTCTGCCACAACACAGGCTGGCATCCTGACTGGAATTTGGCAGTGCCATCTGGGAAGGGTTGTTCTGTGAATGGCTTGTGGCTCCTATCAGAGGAACAGTGACCCCCCCTCCCCGGTGGCACCTCCAGAGAGCTGGCACAGCTCTTTCCCGAGCTGTGTGGATAGGACAGAGGGCTGGCCACAGCCAGGGCCTGGCGGGGATGTGTGGGAGTGTGCCTGCTCACAGAAGTGTGTGCACACACGTGGGTTAACCCACCTCTGTGGTCTCTGGTGGTGGTGCTGGCAGGTACTTGTTTTACTTTTGATCTTATGAATATCTTTAGCATTTCTCATTTTACAGTGAGCCAATGTTGCTTCACAACATCAGCATAATCGATGCAAAACTTATTTTAAAACACTTTTTAGGCCCTCCTCAGGGACCTACACTGGCTTTCCATTTCAGACTTGAGTGTCAGCATTGCAACTTTGTGCTCCCCTCAGCCGCGCTCTTCTCTCCCAGGCTCCCGTTCACATCGCGAGCATTGAGAAAGCATCCCCACGTGCCTCTCTCCGTGGGCCAGGACTTGGACAGTCTTTTACAAAGCGTTATCTAAGACCCCATTGGCTGAAGATGGATCCTGCAGAGTTGATGGCACTCGTGCACAGCTGCCAGCTTTGTTCTTACTTATTTTAAAATGGCAAGGCTTGGATTGAAACCCAATTTTCTTACACCCAAAACAAAACAAAAAAACAAACCCGTTGCTGCCGAGTCAGTTCCAACTCATGGTGACCCCAAGTGTTACAGAGTAGACCTGCTCCGTAGGATTTTCTTGGCTGTAATATTTACAAGAGCAGATTACCAGGCCGTTCTTCTGCAGAGCCACTGGGTAGGTTCGAACTGCCAACTTCAAGGTTAGCAGCCAAGTGCAAGCTCCTTGTGCCACCCAGGGACACTTCAAAACCAGGGCTCTTAAAATTTTGATAATATCTTTTCTAATTAGAATGGGAACACTTGTTTAATTCATAATGCAAAATACTACTAGTAAAACACGAAGAAGCCTCTACCCCACTCCCCCCAAAAAAAAAAAATTGAAGAAGGTGCAGCCCCCTAGACGTGGCCCATTGCACGCTGGCATGTGTTGTGCGTCCTGGGTGGCTGCTTAGATAGGTGTGCTTGCTTCTCCAGGGAGCACACAGGCTCGCCCTGGATGTGCTCATGGGATGGGACAAACGGGCAGGAGGAGCATCCCTGTTGGCCCTGGGGCATACTTGGTGACCACTGTTCCAGGTTGACGAGGGACATGTACAGGGATGAGGCGAGCCACCTTGTGGCTGTTGTTGGGGGTGTGTGGCGGAACTCGAGTCCCCCTGCCCTAAGTGGCGTGGAAATGCATCTTCACGTGGCATTCTGCCTGTCTGCTCGGCATGAAGGGGAGGCGGGAGGTCTCAGTGCCCTGACAGGTGGGAACCAGCCCCGCTGGAGCCGCTGCAGCACTTCATCCCAGGGAAGTGGGGTACCACTGGTACTGGCGGGTCAGTGTCCTCTTCATGTAGTGCCCATTTTGCTGTTCTTGTTGTTATTTGCTGTCGAGTGAATTCCAATTCATGGTGACTGTGTGTGTGCAGAGTAGAACTACTCCATAAGGTTTTCAAGGCTATGACCTTTTGGAAGCAGATCACCAGGCCTGTCTTTCAAGGTGGCTCTTGGTGGGTTCAAATCGCCAACTTTTTGCTAGTGGTCAAGCACTTAACTGCGTGGACCTGCGTCAACAGTCGAGAGAAAATGCAGTTTTTCTGTTTCTGTTTTCATCTGAGATTTTGAGTCCTGCGTTCTTCTTCCAGGCTCGTCCTAGCAGCCAACAGAGATGAATTCTACCACAGGCCATCCAAATTAGCCAGCTTTTGGGGGGACAACAATGAGATCCTCAGCGGTAAGTTGCGTTGCTCCTCACAGTTACCGGGGCCGTGCTGCACAGCACAGTCAGCACCTGGCCTGGCATGAAAACCATGGGATGGCTGACCAATCTGTTATGTCACTCTCACTGGAAATGCAGAGTATATGAGTGGGCACAGACAAGCTACCACTCTCGTGGCTCTGGGGCCATTGCTGGGGTGGCAGCACCAGCATCGGGCACCCCCAGATTGTCCACCAAGCACAGTCCACATGGTTTCCCAGGTCAGCTCTGTCTCTGGAGGCCTTCTGTGGGTCTCCAGAAGGAGTGGTCGACCTGCACATCATGTGAAAGGATCACTTGATTTTATTTTTATGGTTAATAGTTTTATTTTCTTTTAAAATTGCTATCAAACCAAAACAGCAAACCAAACACACTGCCATCAAGTTGATTCCGACTCATAGTGACCCTGTAGGACAGAGTAGAACTGCCCCATAGGGTTTCCAAGGCTGTAAATCATTACAGAAGCAGATTGCCACATCTTTCTCCTGCGGAGCAGCTGGTGAGTTGGAATTGCCGACCTTTTAGTTAGCAGCCGAGTGCTTAACCACTGTGCAACCAGGGCTCTTTTTGCTATCAGCTTCTATAATTTTAAATTGGATCTGTTTAGTTTCCTGTTTTTCTCTCTCTCTCTTTTTTTTTTTTATTGTGGTGGAAACATACACACCAAAACGTCTGCCAGTGCAACAACTTCCACCTTTACAACTCAATGACAGTGATTACATTTTTCATGTTGTGCCACTACTATCGATATCCTCATTCCAAACATTCTGCCACCATTAACATAAACTCAATGCCCCCCCAAGATGCCCACTTCCCTCTCCCTCCCACCTCTGGTAACCATTAATAAATCTTAATCTGTGGTTTCTATATTTTTTGTTAGGTGTTGTCGAGTCAGTTCTGACTCATAGTGACCCTGTGTACAACAGAATGAAGCACTGCCGAGTCATGCGCCATCCTCACAATTGTTGCTATGTTTGAGCCCATTGTTGCAGCCACTGTGTCAATCCGTCTCATGAGGGTCTTCCTCTTTTTCACTCAACTTCTACCTTACCAAGCATGATGTCTTTTTCCAGGGACTGGTCCCTCCTGATAACATGTCCAAAGTACCTGAGACAAAGTCTCACTATCCTCACTCCTTAGGAGCACTCTGGCTGTACTCCTTGCAAGACTGACTTGTTAGTCCTTCTGGCAGTCCATGGTATATTCAATATTCTTCACCAACACCATAATTCAAAGTGGTCAATTCTTCTTTGATCTTTCTTGTTCATTGTCTAGCTTTTCTATGCATATGAGGTGATTGAAAATATCATGGCTTGGGTCAGGTGCACCTTCGTCCTCAAAGTGGCAGCTTTGCTCTTGAACACTTTAAAGAGGTCTTTTGCAGCAGATTTGCCCGATGCAAAAAGTTGTTTGATTTCTTGACTGGTGCTTCCATGGGTGTTGATTGTGTATCCAAGTAAAATGAAATCCTTGACAATTTCAGTATTTTCTTCATTTATCATGTTGTTGCTTATTGATCCAGTTGTGAGAATTTTTGTTTTCTTTTTTTTTTATTGTGCTTTAAGTGAGAGTTTGCAATTGAAGTTAGTTTCTCGTACAAAAATTTATACATACATTGTTATCTGACCCTCGTTGCTCTCCGTATGCTGTGACAGCACACTCCTCCTTTCCACCCTGGATTTCCTATGTCCATTCAACCCGCTCCTGTCCCTTTCTGCCTTCTCATCTCGCCTCTGAACAGAAGCTGCACATTTAGTCTCATGTATCTACGTGAGCTAAGAAGCACGCTCTTCACGAGTATTGTTTTATGTCTCGTAGTCCACTCTAATTTTTGTCTGAAGAGTTGGCCTCGGGAATGATTTTAGTTTTGGGCTAGCAGAGAGTCTGGGGGCCATGTCTTCCAAGGTTTCTCCAGTCTCAGTCAGACCATTGAGTCTGGTCTTTTTACTAGAATTTGAGTTCTGCACCCCACTTTTCTCCTGCTCCATTGGGGACTCTCTGTTGTGTTCCTTGTCAGGGCGGTCACTGGTGGTAGCCAGGCACCATCTAGTTCTTCTGGTCTCAGGCTGATGGAGTCTCTGGTTTATGTGGCCCTTTCTGTCTCTTGGGCTAATATTTTCCTTGTGTCTTTGGCGTTCTTCATTCTTCTTTGCTCCAGGTGGGTTGGGACCAATTGATGCGTCTTAGATGGCCGCTCACGAGGTTTTAAGACCCCAGACACCACTAACCAAAGTGGGATGCAGAACATTTTCTTAATAAAATTTGTTGTGCCAGTTGACCTAGATGTCCCCTGAAACCATGGTCCCCAGACCCTTGTCCCTGCTACTCTGTCCCTTGAAGTGTTTGGTTGTATTCAGGAAACTTCTTAGCTTTTAACTTAGTCCAGTTATGCTGACTTCCCCTATAGTGTGTGTTGTCCTTCCCTTCACCTAAGATAATTCTTGTCTACTATCTAGTTAGTGAATACCCCTCTCCATCCCTTCCCACCCCTGTAACCATCAAAGAATGTTTTCTTCTCTGTTTAAACCTTTTCTTGAGTTCTTATGATAGTAGTCTTATATAATATTTGTCGTTCTGTGACTGACTAAATTCACTCAGCATAATGAGTTCCAGCTTCCTCCATGTTATAAGATGTTTCATGGCTTCATCATTGTTCTTTATTGTTGCATAGTATTCCATTGTGTGAATATACCATAATTTGTTTATCCATTCATCCACTGATGGGCACCTAGGTTGTTAACATCTTTTTGCTATTGTGAACAGTGCTGCAATGAACATGGGTGTGCATGTATCTATTTGTGTGATGGCTCTTATTTCTCTAGAATATATTCCAAGGAGTGGGATTGCTGGATCGTATGGTACTTATATTTCTAGCTTTTTAAGGAAGTGCCAAATTGATTTCCAAAGTGGTTGTACCATTTTACATTCCCACCAACAGTGTGTAAGTGTTCCAGTCTCTCTGTAACCTCTCAAATATTTATTATTTTGTGTTTTTTGGATTAATGCTAGCCTTGCTTGGGTGAGATAGTATCTCATTGTAGTTTTGATTTGCATTTCTCTAATGGCTAATAATCATGAGTATTTCCTCATGTATCTGTTAGCTACCTGAATGTCTTCTTTGGTGAAGTGCCTGTTCATATCCTTTGCCCATTTTTTAACTGGGTTGTTTGTCTTTTTGTTGTTGAGGTCTTGCAGTACCTTGTAGATTTTAGAGATTAGACCCTCTAGATTCAGCCTGCGGGGTGTTTGTTCCCGCCGGGTCAGGACTGGCAACCCCTCACTGCTTCTGAACCGTCTCTCCCCCACCTGCCACTCAGTCAATTCCTCAGCTTTGCCTTTGAGGTTCAGGGGCTCCTAGATTGTCGTATATAATTGATTCACTTGTCTTTTCTGGTCTTTGTTGTAAGAGAGACCACAGGAAGCATCTGACTACTCCGCCATCTTGGCCCTGCCCCCTGTTTTCTTTATGTTGAAGTATAATCCATACTGAAGGCTGTAGTCTTTGATCTTCATCAGTAAGTGCTTCAAGTCCTCTTCACTTTCAGCAAGCAAGGTTGTGTCATCTGTATATCACAGGTTGTTAATGAGTCTTCCACTAATCCTGAAGCCACGTTCTTCTTCACGTAGTCCAGCTTCTTGGATTATTTGCTCAGCGTACAGATTGAATAAGTATGGTAAAAGGATACAACCCTGACGCACACCTTTCCTGATTCTAAACCACACAATATCCCCTTGTTCTGTTTGAACAACTGCCTCTTGGTCTATGTATAGGTTCCGCATGAGCACAGTCTAGTGTTCTGGAGTTCCCATTCTTCACAGTGTTATCCATAATTTGTTATATTTCACACAGTCAGGTGCCTTTGCATAGTCAATAAAACACAGAAACATCTTTCTGGTATCTTCTGCTTTCAGACAAGATCCACCTGACATCAGCAATGATATTCCTCGTTCCATGTCCTCTTCTGAATCTAGCTTGAACTTCTGACAGTTCCCTGTCAATGTACTGCTGCAACCGCTTTTGAATCATTTTTAGCAAAATTTTACTTGTGTGTGATATTAATGATATTGTTCAATAATTTCCACATTCTGTTGGATCACCTTTCTTTGGAATGGACACAAATACAGATGTCTTCCAGTCAGTTTGCCAGGTAGCTGTCTTCCAAATTTTTTGGCATAACCAAGTGAGCACCTCCAGTGCTGCATTTATTTGTTGTAACATCTCAGTTCGTTATTCTATCAGTTCCTGGAGCCTTGTTTTTTGCCAATACCTTCAGTGTAGCTTGGACTTCTTCCTTCAATACCATCAGTTCTTAATCATATACTACCTCCTGACATGGTTGAACATCGACCAACTCTTTTTGGTATGGTGACTGTGTGTATTCCTTCCGTCTTCTTTTGATGCTTCCTGCATTGTTTAATATTTTGCCCATAGAATCTTTCAATATTGTAACTCAAGGCTTGAATTTTTTCTTTGGTTCATCCAGCTTGAGAAATGCTGAGTCTGTTCTTCCCTTTTGGTTTTCTAACTCCAGGTCTTTGCGTATTTCATTATAATACTTTGTCTTCTTGAGCCACCCTTTGAAATCTTCTGTGCAACTCTTTGACTTTATTATTTCTTCTGTTCACTTTAGCTACTCTGTGTTCAAGACCAAGTTTCAGAGTCTCTCCTAACATCCATTTTGGTCTTTTCTTTCTTTCCTGTCTTTTTAACGATCTCTTGCTTTCTTCATGTGAGCTGTCCTTGATGTCATCCCATCGCTCATCTGGTCTTCGGTCATTTGTGTTCAGTGCGCCAAATCTGTTCTTGAGATAGTCTCCAAATTCAGGTGGGATGTACTCAGGGTTGTATTTTGGCTCTTGCTGACTTGTTTTAATTTTCTTCAGCTTCAACTTGAACTTGGATACAAGCAATTGATGATCTGTTCTGCAGTTGGCCCCGGCCTTGTTCTGACTGGTGATACTGAGTTTTCCATCAT